AAGATGAAAGACCCCGAACCCAACAGGCCTGTACATTATATCTCTTCGGTTGGGCTAGCCCCATACTACACAGAAACGTCAACCGAGACGTCTCTGTTACCAGCTTTGCAGCTGGTCATAGCAGTAGTCAAAACATGAAGTAAATCAATGTGTGTGTGTGTCTGTTGATTAAGTGGTGTGTAGCTAAAAACATTCTCACACGACCTCTAGTAACATGTCGTGACTTAAACATAAGAACATATTATGGCTAAGGCTACAGTTATACACGTCATAATAATAATATTAAACATCCTGTCTGCTGACAGTCATCAACTTTTCTCTCTAGTTATCCTTGACCAGATGTACCCTGTAGAAACTCATAAGCATGACTAAGCATTTAACAGTCTAACTAGACATCCTACTGTATCTCCACTAAACATTTCTAATACATAAACTATCTATCCAATATCTATCTGACTAAAAATACCTAACACCCCCAAGTCCAAATGCAGTCAATGCTCAAGTCTGAGTCCAAGTCCTAATCATCAGTTCTCCAAGTCAAGTCACAAGTCCTGAAAGTCAGGACTGAGTCAGACTCGAGTCCGAGTCCTGGATTTGAGTATGACAACACTGATTCAAGGCAGCAGGATGGTGCATGTGAGATTGAGTCAAAATCACCAACAGTCTATGTTTTGGACAAAAATTGAGCTTTTTAGCATATATCAGGCTTTGACACACCAAACACAGACACACAAATATTTATTAGTAAGATACATTCCCTGTTGGTATTTTCATTGTTGATAAAAAAGAAAAGTATAGAATAATGCCAGATTATTTTTAACTGTGTACTTTAACATACCCTTCCAATCCACCCACTGGAACTAGTCACCTCCAGATGCTGTAAAAAATAGACAATTTACTGAATCATTGATTGTAATGTTTGACACCAGACTGATGTCTGCCTAAGTATCGAAAGGCTTATGGTGATGCTTACTAGACGTTGATATAAAAAACTGATCTTTTGCTCATAATACATGATATACAATAAGAGACTGGTGGAAACCCTTTAGCTAAAGTGAGAAATTTCGAGTGGCAAAACTGCCATTACACAAACATTTTTACACATATCAATTTCACAAGAGCTGTATTGCTGCAGTTAGCTTTGTTGCTTTCAGTTGAAAATGTTGAAAATTTTGTAGCCTGGTTAAATCAACAAGCCATGTGACTTTCAGTTGAGTACCGCTATAATCAGTAACAAAGTAACTGACAACACAGGGCTAAGAAAAAGAAATGCTCATGATTGAGTCTTGTCAAGGTTTAGATGTAGCTCTTGCCAAAAGATAGGTTTACAGTACATTTTTTCAAGTCTGTCTTAGGAAGCAATCAGAGTTCACATGTATATTGCTGCAAATGTTTCTTAAAATATTACTAGCCATAAAATTTTGTGTCTCTTTTTGGTAGTTTTGCATCTCAGTTTGATAGTTCTGTTTGCAGTTTCTTTGTGTCTGTCCATAGAGTTGCTTTGGGTCTCTTTGGGATGGTTTTGCACGTCTTTGTGATAATTTTGCATCTATTTTAGTCTTTTAACTGAAGTCCATGACTTTCAAACAGGAAATATTTATAGTCCTTTCATACAGAGGCTCTGGCTCAGGCCCCACCCTCCTGACCTCTATGGCTCTTGGGCCTGTGCCTGATCCATCCATGTCTGCAGGGAATGGATACAAATTCAAAGACAGACTATTTGAAGCCTCATATTACCTTACAGTAGCCTTGTTGAATTTCAAAATGGGTTTTTAGCCATCCTAGCACTATGAGAGAACCATGGTACCTTTAGGTAGAACAGCAGGTCTGATTTATACTTATCCAGTAAAATACTTCAGCATTTTCATCTACTTTATATATATCCAACACCAGACAATGTGTGTGAAATGGGGTAGCATTATGTCTGCTCGTTTTCATGCAAGTAGTGGTGGTAAGGTAGAATTTTGTCTCCCATGTTTTAAAGTGCAGCACAGGGTTTTTAGTGGGGAATTCTGTCACCAGTCACCTCATTTACACTGATGATTTAATAATTTTTAGTCCATACAGCGCTGGAGTGCAGCTGTTATTAAAAGTGTTTTCTCAGTATGCCATTGATCACAATATTGGATTTAACACCAGAAAGAGTAATATCATGACATTTAGAAGTACAGACAGTCATGTAGGGAAGTTAAAAATCTTGGTACTTATTGTATTACTGATGACCTGAATGATAACAGAGGCATTTATAGACAGTGCTGTAAACTATACGCTCAGCCTAATATGTTGATTCACAAGGTTAGTATGCGCTCTGATAATATTAAATGTCTTTTATTTAAATCTTTCCGTTCACCCCTGTATTCAACACATTTTTGCTCTAGTTATAGAAAGAGTAGTGTGCAGAGGCTCAGAGTAGCCCATAATGATGCTATGAGAATGCTGCTAGAATGTTCTGAGATGGTACAGTGCCAGTCAGATATTTTTATCCTCTGGGGTTTCTTCGTGTGAGGCACTCTTAAGATCTATGATGTATAATTTTAAGTGCTGCTTGGAGGAGTGAGAATAGCATTTTAGTGTCTAACAGGTCCTGGGAAGAGCTGCATTTGGTACTTATCCAGATGTAGGAAACATTGGTGAGATAGTTTATATATATAAATCAATACTATATAATGTTTTTATATTTTTTAAATTACTATTAATTACGTAAGCTTAATTACGTCTTTTGCTTTTAATGTTTTATTTTATTTTATGTTATTGTATTTACTTGCTATGGACCCATATGAGGGTCCAAAATAAAGTTTAATTCATAATAGTTAATTAGCAAATGTTAGTACGCTAGTATGCTAAACTGGTGAACATGCTGCCATTACATGTAGCATTTAGCTCACTGCTCTGCTGAAGTACAGCTTCACACAGCTGCTGGCATGAGTCATCACATTAAGAAGGGATCTCTTTACAGCCTGTATAAAAACACTCTGATCCACATATAAGTCTCTGTAAATATAGATGTGAATAGTTCAAGACAGACTTAGGAAAATGTGAACCTATCGTTCACACTGTTAATGTTTAGCTAAATTTAACTTGGATTGCAACTGGTGTCACATTTTTAACAGCTGGCGTGAAGGCAATTTAGATAGCACAAACTAAATACAGGTCAATAAAACTTTTATCTTATCCTCTCTTGCAGTATGAGTGTTGCTGCTTTTAGGTTTTATTGCCCTTAAAATGGCTTGTGTATTCATTAAGAAGCTGCTTGTCCAGTTTATCTGTGTAATGCCTCATATCTTATGCTATATATTGATTGTTCTAATGCAATAACACTTGTTTATGACATCATGTTTTACCTCAACGGGATCCCATGTGGATCCACTAAATTTGTAGATCTGAAGAATGAGGTGGGTTTGTACTCTCTTCAGCCACTGAACAGCAATACGATTGTCTGTCACCCAAGTAACAGAGGCCAAGTAGTGCTCACTGAGGAACAAGAAATAAAGAGAAACAAAAAATAAAATGGCAAATCTCTGGCAAAGTCCTCTGTTTGCCTTCTGTTTTATTACAGGCTGTTACCTTGAGCTGAATGAAGCTGGAACAACAACTTCAGTAATTTTTGTCGTGTTGTCGGTGTCCACAACAAACAGTTTAACAACAGGGTTAGGAGTACCTGGCTGCACAGGACAATAACACAAGATACATCAGATAATAATGATTATGCCAAGTAAGTCTGAACACACAGATCCTTGACATACAACAGAACAATGATCTCAGTACAAGCTTGTTAAGAGTAAAACCAGCTCCAGATGGTTGTCCCACCTTTGGATATGGAATAGAAACAGTACTGGGGTACTGGTTCTCGCCGTACCAAGAGTACTCCATAAGGTGGACGCCTGTGTCATTGAACTCAGCATAGGCAACATACTTCCCTGTAGGTGACCACCAGAGGCCCTGATTGGATGAGAACATCTCCTCTGGAAGAGGCAAAGTGTTAGGATTTAGGACTTCATCTGGATCCTGTTAGAAGTTTGTTTCCCATTAGAGCACTGGCAAAAAACTATGCATGTTCCAATGATCCTGGAAGCTGCAGAGGCCTACGTCTGTACTGTTACGTGAAAACCTTCACGATTCATTTTATGTCTCATGTGCAGCTAATTTTCATCGACTACTGTTTTGAGTCGACTACACTGTTGTTAAAGTCGCTTTCAAGTGCTTAAGTGGTTTTTGACTTTTTAAAATCCTGCACTCTATAAGTATTCATCAGTGGTGGACAAAATACTCAAGTCCTTTACACAAGTAAAAGTATCACATGGTACAAATATTCAGTTATAAATAAATTACATTATAATTACCACTTAAGTAAAGGTACAGAGGTATACTACCAAAAACAAAAGTACGTTTCACAAAAAGGGGACCAATAATAATAATAATGATAATACACTTTTTGCTGGGATCAGTTTAACTACTTTACATACAGTTAACACTTTAGTCCAGTGGTTTCTAATTTAAGGACCAGTGAAAATAAATATGAGTTAATTAAATATAGTAGAGCTAAAATAATGTATTACTTATGTTTTTATGATAAAAAATAAAAGTGAAAAAAGAAAAAATAGTAGAGTAAAAAAGTACAATATTTACCTCGGAAATGCAGTGAAGCATAAAGTACCATAAAATGTAACTATTCAAACCTCAAAACAGTACTTAAGTACAATATTTAGATACATATACTTACTTATACAGTAAGTAATATACTTACTTATACAGTAAGTAGGTATATGAATATAAGATAGAAATGTGTCACTTACCCTCATACACCCAGTCTGGTATCCCATTTAAAATCTCATTTTCCTTGCCATTGAATGTGACTTGCTGTGCTGGGGACACAGGGCTTGTCTTTATATATGCATCATTTTCCCAAACAAAGGCCTAGAAAATAAAAATTAATGAGTTCATTCAGGCTTGTTTTCTGAACCCATTTAACCCCATGTTAAATTTTTATTCTGCTCAAATGTGTGGGAAAGATTGTGCTTGGTCATCTTATCTATTATAACATTGAAAGCAGGAATTTCACTCACAGTTAATCCATGCTTACCAGTTTATTCCCTTCGGGAGCCCAGGCAAAGTACTGGACTTTA